TTAATAATATATAAATTACGGCTTTCGCAAAAGCTTGCAAGCAAGGTATTGGTCTCACCTATTTTCTGCTTGTATTCTGCCCTATCCGTCCTGAGTATGACTTCACAGATTACAATTTCCGTTGTGGGGCTGTCAGTCTGTATTATATCGCAGATTTCAGCAATGTCATCAACTATTTTACTCGGATGTTTCTCTGGTAGATCATTCGTGCCAACATGCAGAATAATTTGTGTAGGCTTTTATCTAAGCATGGTTTAATATGGTGCTTTATGGCTGATATTTTTGCGCCTCTGTAGGTTTCAGCAAAAACTTTGCTCTCTTCACCCTTTATTGATCTCTGCAGCCTTCGGGAATCTAAATGTTTGATTATTGAGTCCCCGACAATAACTGTAGAAGTGCTTGCTTTGTTTGTTTTCTTGTTTCGGCTCTTATCCTTACCCCCTTGTGACTTTCGGCTTTTTGTTTTTGCGCTTTCATTCGTGCCATGGCTTGTAGATGTAATTTCATTTTCTTCTTGATGGTCACTTAAGATTTCATATCTATTGTGTGTTGAGACATTTTCATCATCATCGACGATTACTACATTAGCTTTTTCTTGTTGTTTTTTTTTCTCAAATTTGTCACATTGTTCACCTTCGGATCGTTTGTCGTCTCGACCATGTTCGTGTAGTAAAATTTTTATCACTGTAGTGAGGCTCATTTTTTCGTTTTCTAGATCTTTGACCTTGGTGTTTAGTTCAGACATAATATATCCCAAGTTCTGTAAACGTTCCCTCAGTGCTTCGTTTTCTTTCTTTAGTATAGCATTCTATTCGGCGTGTAATGTAGTCGCGTCTTTATTGTCCTTCAGCTTCTGTATTTCGTAAGCCAGTCTTTCAATCTTCTGATTCATTTGGCTTTCCACCATTTTTAGCTTTTCGGTCACGTTGTTATCATGTTCAGTCGTGCAGAGTATAGAAGCGCCGTTTAGTAAAGTAAGGTTTGGATGATTGTCGGTGCTTTCTTCTACCGCCATATTGTTCTCAGTTGGAAACGTATCTTCGACACTGTCACTGACCTGAACTTCGCTCTCATCACTCTCAGGTTCTTCGGGATTTTCTTCAATAATTGCACGTATTTTGATCTTTAAATCCTCACTCTTAGACCCATTAAAAGTGAGACATTTATTAGCCGTATACCAGCGAATATATATATATATATATATATATATATATATATATATATATATATATATATATATATATATATATATATATATATATATATATATATATATCTATATATGATATTTTTGTAAAAGTTTGAAACTGATCTATTAAAAATCTTCAATAAAAACATACTAAATTTTCGGCTGCCAACTGCAGCCTTCTTCAGAGTATTTTGGCCGTGTTCGATTAGTTAAAGTCCTTTTATGCCTTATCCCGTTACACTCAATTGATTCTAACAATGGTAAATACGAAACCGGAAATTCTATGTGTTCATTGACTGCATTTTTGTCTAGTACAGAATGTAACGCTTCAAGAAACCTTCTTTTGCCATAGTTTTTAATGCCTTTTTCCAAAATATTTACGTCAGTTTTAGCGACTTCATGACCTGTCTGTTCAGCATGTTCTTTTATAGCTGAAAAAGTCTTTTTTCTTACGCCTGGTTTGTGTTCAAGCCATCGGGAACACCAACATCTTTTTGACTCCCCGACATAAGTGAATGAGCACGACTCGCATTTGAATTTGTACACAATAGCTTTTGTTCGCATTTCCTGTGGTCTTTCTTTTGGTTTTTTGAATACATTCTCTAACGTGACTATCGGCTTGAATGCTGTCCGAACGCCTGCTCGAGTTAAGATGCTTTTGACTTTTTCCGACACACCTTTCACATACGGAATGCACGTCGAGCCACGAATCTCAAATTCAGAAGAATTTTGTTGTGTTTTTGTTTGTATTTCTAACATTATATATAAACGCTTTCTTGTATCCATTTAACTCTAACACTTCTGCTACTCTATCCGTTTCCTCCTTCTGTAAAACTTGGTTTCATGGAATAACTCTCGCTCGGTCTAATAATGATTTTACAACTGCGATCTTGTCTCTTACAGGGCTATGTGAGCCAAAATGTAGCCAAAATCAAAATGCGGTAGATTTAGCACTAAAAATCGTTAAAGAAGAACTAGAAAATACAGAGATTTGGAAAGAGCACACAAAGTTGACGATAGAACAGATTTACAGTCTTTTGGCTTTTGTCTTAAAAAATAGCTTTTTTGTGTTTAATGAAAATCACTACCATCAGATTTCTGGTTGCGCAATGGGTTCACCAGTAAGTGCGGTTATTGCTGAGCTAGTTATGCAAAGGGTGGAAAAAATTGCTTTGAGAACATCCCCAGTGCCGATACGATGGTGGAAAAGATATGTTGATGACTCAAACGCGTGTTTAAAACAAAACGATATAATAGCTTTTCATGATCATTTAAATTCTATAAATCCTTGTATTCAGTTTACCATTGAAACACCGGCAGTAAATGGAGACATGCAAACAATCGCTTTCCTGGATACAGAGATTTGTAAAATTTCTACAGAAATTTCGATTAAAGTTTTCCGTAAGAGCACACACACCGACAAATATCTAGATTTTGGCTCACATAGCCCTGTAAGAGACAAGATCGCAGTTGTAAAATCATTATTAGACCGAGCGAGAGTTATTCCATCAAACCAAGTTTTACAGAAGGAGGAAACGGATAGAGTAGCAGAAGTGTTAGAGTTAAATGGATACAAGAAAGCGTTTATTGATAATGTTAGAAATACAAACAAAACACAACAAAATTCTTCTGAATTTGAGATTCGTGGCTCGACGTGCATTCCGTATGTGAAAGGTGTGTCGGAAAAAGTCAAAAGCATCTTAACTCGAGCAGGCGTTCGTACAGCATTCAAGCCGATAGTCACGTTAGAGAATGTATTCAAAAAACCAAAAGAAAGACCACAGGAAATGCGAACAAAAGCTATTGTGTACAAATTCAAATGCGAGTCGTGCTCATTCACTTATGTCGGGGAGTCAAAAAGATGTTGGTGTTCCCGATGACTTGAACACAAACCAGGCGTAAGAAAAGACTTTTTCAGCTATAAAAGAACATGCTAAACAGACAGGTCATGAAGTCGCTAAAACTGACGTAAATATTTTGGAAAAAGGCATTAAAAACTAGGTTTCTTGAAGCGTTACATTCTGTACTAGACAAAAATGCAGTCAATGAACACATAGAATTTCCGGTTTCGTATTTACCATTGTTAGAATCAATTGAGTGTAACGGGATAAGGCATAAAAGGACTTGAACTAATCGAACACGGCCAAAATACTCTGAAGAAGGCTGCAGTTGGCAGCCGAAAATTTAGTATGTTTTTATTGAAGATTTTTAATAGATCAATTACAAACTTTTACAAAAATATCATGTTATCCACTGATCGCCCTAACAGTATATATATATATATATATATACTGCAGACATGCGTGTTTCGGCGTCCTACGTCTCGTCAGTGCAGCTTGGTACCCATCTAGACACGCTATGACTTTCGTATTGATATACATGACACTTGCTCTCCCAAGCGCATGTGGTACAATACGGCCCATCAACGCATCCAGACATGCGCAGAGCGACATGGGGCCAGAGTGCTCAAACTACCACGAGGGAAGTGAGCTTTGCATTATTGCTAATGAACACCCAATTAACTCCACAGAGTGCTCTACAACACCGAAGTGAAGGAGCGTAATAGTGCAATCTGCAGACATGCCTGCTTCGTCGTTCTACGCCTCGTCAGTGCAGCTTGGTACACATCTAGACACGCGAAGACTTTCGTATTGATATATATGACACTTGCTCTCCCACGCGCAGAGTGACATAGGGCCAGAGTGCTCAAACTACCACGAGGGAAGTGAGCTTTGCATTATTGCTAATGAACACCCAATTAACTCCACAGAGTGCTCTACAACACCGAAGTGAAGGAGCGTAATAGTGCAATCTGCAGACATGCCTGCTTCGTCGTTCTACGCCTCGTCAGTGCAGCTTGGTACACATCTAGACACGCGAAGACTTTCGTATTGATATATATGACACTTGCTCTCCCACGCGCAGAGTGACATGGGGCCAGAGTGCTCAAACTACCACGAGGGAAGTGAGCTTTGCATTATTGCTAATGAACACCCATTTAACTCCACAGAGTGTTCTACAACACCGACGTGAAGGAGCGTAATATATATATTCTGTCCAATCACACAGATATAGATACATGAATGGCAGCTTGATAATATAAATAACTGTAATATACTGGTGGGATGTAATCGGGCATTGAAAAAGCCCAAATGGGGAAGTGATCTGAATAATATATAATTATACATCTTTATGTTTCTGCTTTCACTTGGGGTTTTACGGAGTAAAATGTACAGTCATGCTTAAAAGGGCTTTTTCCCTATATAAATATATATATATATATATATATATATATATATATATATATATATATATATATATATATATATATATATATATATATATATATATATATGTATATATATATATATATATATATATATATAGATTAATCACTAGGCGAAAAGCCATAAAGGTATATAAATTAATCAACTCAACACATAACGTAACGTTTCGACTTTATTGCCTTCATCAATATATATATATATATATATATATATATATATATATATATATATATATATATATATATATATATATATATATATATATATATATATAAATATCACTAGCCTCCCAAAAAGCTTCATTTATATAAAACTTCAAGTTGGAAACAAAATTTATTAAACTTCAAACAAATACATAATACGTTTCGGGGCACAGCCCCTTCGTCAGAAACGAGATAATTCAATCCATGTCTTTAAATACTTTAGGCTCAATCTAATTAAGATACATTAATAATATATAGACTTGCATATTAACATTCCTCCCTCAAATCTAATCCCAGTGGTACATATGTATTCAATTTTTCAATCCAAAAGCTTTCCCTCTCTGTAGGTTTATTAATATCCGTGATATCAATAATCTGTTCTTTAAAGTCATTAAGACCCGAATGGCCCTCCTCAAAAAATGTTCATACAAATGTTGAGCACATAAACCTCTTTGACCCTTAGAATATCTATTAAGCGAACTCTTGTGGTTATTAAATCTAAGACGAAATGACGTTATAGTATTGCCCACGTATTGTTTACTACATTTTCCGCAAGTAATTAAATAAACCACCCCCCGAGAGTTACAATCAAAGTGATGGTTAATGTGAAACGTGCGCTGTTGTACTGTACTTTGAAAAGTATCCGCTACCACGATGGAATCACAAACTTTGCACTTCTTCCCCCCACATTTAACCATCCCTTTAGCTGCAACCTCAAGCTTATGCAATTTAGCCCGAACAAGATGGTCTTTAAGGTTTTTGGATCTCCTAAAACACACCATAGGTGGCTCTGGCATGACACTTAGGAATTTGTTAGATAAGCCTACAATATTTTGCAATTCCCTAAAAATTCCATAAATTTCCCGCAATGCTGGGTGATAATCTATGATAAAGGTACTCTTATTATTTTTCCTTCTAGTTTGTTCACTTCCCCGTTTAAATAATGCCGACCGATCCAAAAACCTGACTCTCTTAAACTGACTCTCTACAAATTCGCTATTATAGCCCCTTTTAACCAGAAACCCTTTCAATTCCTGAAGCCTACTCTAAAAAACCTTATCTGAATGGCAAATCCGCTTTAGACGCAATGCCTGTCCATAAGGAATTCCCCTCTTAACATGTGGAGGATGGCAGGACTTAAAATTTAAATACTGATGTGCATCAGTGGGTTTACTATACACATCAGTACAAAAAACCCCATTATCCAATCCTACCGACACGTCAAGAAAGGAAATCCTCTGATAACTTATATCCCATGTATACTTGATATTCTCGTGAAAAGAATTCAAACGAAGCAAAAAATAATTTAATTCCTCCTCCGAATGAAGCCAAATCACAAAAATATCATCCAGGAAACGCCACCATACCCATGGTTTTAACTCACACGTCTCCAAAAATTTTTCTTCCAAGTGCCCCATAAATATATTTGCAAAACCTGGTGCGAACTTGGTCCCTATGGCTGTCCCCAATTTTTGGCGGAAGATTTTTTCATCAAATTCAAAATAGTTGTTTTCTAAGACCAGCCTTGCCAAGGAAATCAAGTCCTCGACCGGTAGCTCCCACTCAGCCCTATTAAAAGCTGCCAGAAGCGCTTCCAACCCTTCCCCGTGTGGTATATGAGGGTACAAGCCGATCACATCTATAGTACACAAAATAGCAGTAGATGGAATGTGTCCCAAACTCTCTAATTTTTGAAGAAAATCAGAAGTATCCTTAATAACAGATGGTACATTACACACTAAAGGTTGTATATGAAAATCCAAAAATTCCGATATTCTTTCAGTGGCCGTACCGCAATTTGAAATAACCGGCCGTCCTGGTACATTCTCCAAACGCTTATGAATTTTAGGCAACAAGTAAAATTTTCCTAATCGGGCCTTAGAAACCATTAGATATTTTCTATTAGCCAAAGATATATATCCTTTATGCACCAAAGGATCCAACGTTTTTTCTATTAAAGAATTAACCCTATCCAAAGGATCTGACTCAGTAACCTCATGTCCTGACTCAGTAACCTCATAACCTGACGAAGGGGCTGTGCCCCGAAACGTATTATGTATTTGTTTGAAGTTTAATAAATTTTGTTTCCAACTTGAAGTTTTATATAAATGAAGTTTTTTGGGAGGCTAGTGATATTTATATAAATATATATATATATATATATATATATATATATATATATATATATATATATATATATATATATATATATATATATATATATATATATATATATATATATATATATATATATATATATATATATATCACTTTGATTGTAACTCTCAGGGGGTGGTTTATTTAATTACTTGCGGAAAATGTAATAAACAATACGTGGGCAATACGGTAACGTCATTTCGTCTTAGATTTAATAACCACAAGAGTTCGCGTAATAGATTTTCTAAGGGCCAAAGAGGTTTATGTGGTCAACATTTGTATGAACATTTTTTTGAGGAGGGCCATTCGGGTCTTAATGACTTTAAAGCACAGATTATCGATATCACGGATATTAATAAACCTACAGAGAGGGAAAGTTTTTGGATTGAAAAATTGAATACATATGTACCACTGGGATTACATTTGAGGGAGGAATATTAATGCAAGTCTATATATTATTAGTGTATGTTAATTAGGATTGGGCCGAAAGTATTTAAGGACATGGATTTGAACTTATCTCGTTTCTGACGAAGGGGCTGTGCCTCGAAACGTATTTATTTGAAATTTATATATATATATATATATATATATATATATATATATATATATATATAAGGGGAATGTTATAACTAGATCACGTCCGTTGAATATATACTACAAAGCTAGACTAAATTTAAATAAAAAGGGTGGAATGTGGACAATAACGAGCTAAAATTTAAAATGTTGTTATTCAGGCGTATCATGCAGAATATATATTTTTTTAAATGTCAATTGTTCTACCAATGCATCCGTTTATTACGTTCCCCGCTCTTTTCTTAATTTCAAACGCCTCAATGCACTTACGCTCATCATCATTGTTTATGTTGGAATGTAGGATTCTCCAAGTTATGGTTGGCATGTCATCTTCGTTACTCCTGTGGGATTCAATATGTTTGTACATGGTTTGCTTATTCATGGTCAAATGTTCTTTAATGCGCGTGCCAATTGTCCTACCAGTTTCACCAATATAAACTTTATTACAATGCAGGCATTCAATTTCGTATACAACGTTCTTATTGTGGCAACGATTTGGTTTTTTTCCCGATTTGCAAGTCTCGCAATTATTAGAGCAACTCATTGTTTCTTTCCGTGGGGCAAACCTCTGTGATGACGATTTCCCGTTCAGAAAATAGATTTTAATATTATTTAGTCCCGATCGACGGACTATAGCAAGAGAGCGTCGTTTAAACTCCTCGTTAATATAGGGTAGCTTAATATAAATGCAATTCTCCTGATCGTTAATTCTCGGTTGATTGTGTAATACACGTTGAACGGAGGCTCTAACAAACGATTTGGGGTAGCCATTTCTAGCAAACACTTGGGTTAGTTTACGCAAGGATTCTTTTTTATTATTATCATCTGTTGAGCGAGAAACGGCACGGTTTATTTCGCCGATTAAAATGGCTCGTTTAGATGCGAGGGATCCGTGACTGTCCCATGGAACGATGCAATTGCTGTGGATAGGTTTTATGTACAGCTGGGTGGAAAAGTTATTCGTTTCAGGGTTGAATGTAACCATAGTATCTAGAAATGGCAATTGCCCTTCGTTTGGTAATTCGATAGTAAATTTAATGGCTTCATTTATGCTATTAGCAATCGTCAGGAGTCTATCTCCAGTTAATTTTTAAATTTTTAAATTTTTTATTGCCTGTAGAAGTCTTTTTTAATTTTTTAAATAAAAAAATTATATTCATTTATATACCAGGCATGATTCCAAAAACCTATTCTCATATATATATATATATATATATATATATATATATATATATATATATATATATATATATATATATATATATATATATATATAATATATATATATATATATATATATATATATATATATATATATATATATATGCTCTAATAATTGCGAGACTTGCAAATCGGGAAAAAAACCAAATCGTTGCCACAATAAGAACGTTGTATACGAAATTGAATGCCTGCATTGTAATAAAGTTTATATTGGTGAAACTGGTAGGACAATCGGCACGCGCATTAAAGAACATTTGACCATGAATAAGCAAACCATATACAAACACATTGAATCCCACAGGAGTAACGAAGATGACATGCCAACCATAACTTGGAGAATCCTACATTCCAACATAAACAATGATGATGAGCGTAAGTGCATTGAGGCTTTTGAAATCAAGAAACGAGCGGGAAACTTAATAAACGGATGCATTGGTAGAACAATTAACATTTAATCTGTATTTTGCATGATACGCATGAATAACAACATTTTTGGCTCGTTATTGCCCACATTCCACCTGTTTATTTAAATTTAGTCTAGCTTTTAGTATATATTCAACGGACGTGACCAGTTAAAACATTCCCCTGAAGAAGCCTTAACCGGCGAAACGTTGGGACAAATTTTTAAATATTTTATTGCCTGTAGAAGTCTTTTTTAAATTTTTTAAATAAAAATTATATTCATATATATACCAGGCATGATTCCCAAAACCTATTCATATATATATATATATATATATATATATATATATATATATATATATATATATATATATATATATATATATATATATATATATATATATATATATATATATATATATATATATATATATATATATATATATAAAGAATTTTAGCCATATTCTGCGAACATGTTACATTACATTAATATTCAGCTCACTGGGGCTTTTCAGTGACTGATTACATCAAGTAATTATGCTTACATACTTATGTTACTGACTTAGACACTGGATTTTTTCAGGATTTTTTCTTGGGTCCGTTTTTGCAGCGAAGATTGAGTTTAGCTGAACAGTTGGGGTGGTTGCACCCCGCCCGCCCCCTTACCGGGGGGGGGGCTGACACTTGTAGTCAATAAATGTAGTTGTGACAGCTATTTATCTTTACAACAATTGTGGTATTACTTTCCTAACTATGTATTAACAGGGTTTTCAGTTTAGGCCGGCAAACGGCGAATTTCACCACACTTTTTCATTCAACCCCACCCAAATTCGCCAAAGCTTTTACGTTTAGTCACGTCTCTATTATGTGTACTCACCCAAATTTGTAAATTCTATCGGTAGAAATAATATCTATCGCCATAGCTTTATCGCCATTAGCCAGAGCCTCGCACAAAACTGAAAACCCTGTGTATATCCTAACCCACACTGTCAACTTTCCCTGTGGGAGCTGGGAGAAAACCGAAGCACCCAGAGAAAACCTGACTTTTGGCAGAACATTGACTCTTCACATGAGTCCCTAGCGAGAATGGAACCCACAATCTCAGAAGTGAAGGGTGTTTGCTCTGACGAGTGCCCCACCCATGCCCCTACATTCTTTTATTACAAAAGTATAATAAGGAATAAACATTAGAACATTTTAGAACATTTATTGGATTCATAGGCGTACAGGAATGAAAAAATTAGGGGGGCAGAAAGAAATTCGCCCGACTTTTTCGAATTGTGCCCAACCAGGGCCTGAAAATTTTTTTTCCCGGAACAATAAATTTTGGGGAAGTTCCCCCCCCCCCTCGTCGCCAAAAAAATTTCGGTCAGTGTACCATTTTAGGGGTCCAAAAATTTTTAGGGCATACCAAAATTTTTTGGAACATCAAACAAATTTTCCCAAACTTTACAAAATTTTCCGCAAAATTGGCAGAATTTGTCCCATTTATTTTTATAATAACCCAATATTGCCCGACTGTGAAGCGAATATTACTCAACTGGCTTGGTTTGCCCAACAAACTGGGGTTATTATTACGAGACATTTTATTGCTTTGACTACTTTTTGCCCGACTTTTGTTGAACATTTGCCCGACTTTTCGACTTTGTAATCTTTTTGGGGGGCAGCTGCTGCCCCCCCCTCCCCCCCCGTCCCGTATGCCTATGATTGGATTCGCACACTTACATAGTACACACATATACATAGAATATTACAGAAAGCTAAATATCAAGAAAAATACATTATAACGAATACTTTGTCACTTGAGATCATAAGCAAATGGCAGTATACAATAGTAATGCAAAATTTACGATTCCACTGCAAACAATATAGCGAATGTGTTTTAGAACAAATTTGCATAACAGAACATAAATTAATATAATCATGTAACGTCTACAGTATGTTTGGCAACTTTGGTTTTCGGTTGATTATTAGCGCGAACGGTAAGCTTAGAAAATCATGATTTTCGACAGAGCAAACGCGCCATTATAATGATTTTACAGACACTATCTGTACCCGCCCAATTTAAATTCCGTTTTAAATTTAAATTCCAATTTAAATACGATACTTATTATTGTTGGGCAAACTGCCAGTCAAACTGCAAACTTCAAGAATCAATATTTTCGAACAGTAAGCGCGCTCCTCTTTAGTGGTATACTTGTACAACACGGATTTTTTAAAGTTGCATATTTCCATAGTCTTATCGGCTTAACGATCTGTGGAGCGTCTTGTTATACTGAAATTTACATACAAACTCGTTGCTGCTGAAGCCACAACTAACTGGCGTGACGTCACAGATAAGGCTCGTTGCAGATTTCAAGCAGTTAGATGTTAGATATTCCGACGGCCATGTGCCAAGTAAAATCGCAATATCAGCAAGTTCATGTGGCTCTAAAATTTTAATTTGCTTTTTTGACCAAAAGCAAATTTTTTTTCGCGAAACTACCACACTCGAAGGATACTTTTAGTAAGCTGAAAATCAATTTTGGGTTATGGGCACAAGTATTACTTTATTAGGCCTTATTGATAAAACATTTGAACCCATTTTAATATAATGCTCAACATTTTCCCTTGGCAAGTACAGTAAAATCATCTGGCATTAGACAGTTTATAGAATATAAAGTAGCGAAATCAGGTTGACATGCATGATACAACACTTTGCCGTACTGTAGCTTGTAGAGAAAAATTGTGTGGCAGAGTAGGGATGGGCCGATATCGATACCAAATACTCGATACTATCGATACCAGGGTTTTGAACAAAAGTATCGATACTGGCAAGAAATATCGATGTTTCGATATTTCTGCGCCCGCGATATTTTTTCATTGTGGTCAGCGGACTAATCATGAAAATGATGCCAAAAAGCCTAAATAGGCGTAAATACTATCAAAGTAGTTTATTTTCTATGGTGCTTAATGGTCCACGGGCAGGATCAGAGTTTGTGGTTATGTTAGTTACAATCATGAAAATAAACGTGTTGAAAACGTATTCAACCAGCATGATTTTGGCGTCGAAGAAATGAAAATAATCTTTTCTTGTTGTGGTTGTTCGAGTTTGGAAAATATCGATATCGGTATCGATATCGAAAAAAAATGGCAAATATCGAGTAAATATCGTATCGAATGAAAAAGCTGGTATCGCCCATCCCTAGCTTTAAGTAACTGCAGTGTAGCCAGTGTTTAATATAACGTTTTAACAATAAAATATTTCATGTATTTACGTTCATTTGTTCTTTAATTTGTTGTTTCTTCGACTATTGATATATAATAAAACACTTATTTACTGAGACCTCGGGAAAGCAGTGTGTTACTGTTTCCCTCGGTCTCAGTAAATAAGTGATAAATATTACTTTTAATATATTAACCTTAATTTAATCATTAAACTGTAGTTAGCATTGATCCAGTTGGTTTTATCTATAGGTTACAACCAAAGGGGCCGAAGGAGGAGATAATTAAACTTCTGAACAAGTGCACATGTCATAAAAGAAATCGGCAAATTTTTGCTCGTGTGTATGGGCCATAGAAATATTCGACCAACTAATATTTTCATGAGCACGCTCATATATACAGGAAAATCAAGCATGCAGTATGCCTATACTGACAGGATTATAGTTGCATATATGAGCGCGCTCATGAGTGTGCCAAAATCCGATTTCCTCATGCGCACGCCCATATATACACGAAAAATTTTAATGAGTATTTTAATTTTAATTTTAATGAGTATACTAGATTTTGGTCAGGGCGCTTATATATATAAGCGCCCTGATTTTGGTATATATGAGAGCGCTCATGAGCACACTGGATTTTGAGCGTGTTCATTAACATTTATAACATAGCATTTGTAAATTAGCCTTTTCCGAAAAGAGATCACGGTGCATCCTGGGATCGCCGTTTGGAGGGACAAAATTTATGGTGACAGGCATCAAATATGTGAAAGAGTAGAAGTCAGTCTACTATCAAATATCAACTTTTTAGACGACCAAAAATGAAATATCTCCATTTTACATTAAACATTTAATTTCAATGCTGCTATATTTCTCAGTGTCCCTCCGACATGGGATTCGCGCGACTAGATCCAGAACTTTGGGAAATGGCTAATAGTGAACGCTGATTGACTAAGAGCCGTGCTGATATAACTCAATGTCAACACGGAAAATTTCTTTCTTTATATTTCTTTGTGCTATGTTGTTAAAAAAATATAAAACATTTTTCCGTATTGATATACAGTTATATCAACATTCATGGAAATTGGGAAAACTCGAAATTGTGTGAAAACACTCCGCCCTTTGAGCGTCGTGTTTCCACACAATTTCTCGTTTTCCCAACTAATTCCCACTCGTCTCGATATAACTGTATATCAACACGGAAAATGTTTTATATTTGTTAAATATGAAACGGGTATATGAGTATGTTACTGGATTTCGGTAGGTATATGAGCGTATTCATCAGCATTCTGGATTCATGAGATACCAAAATAAGGTGTATGTAACTGACCTCCCTTTTCTTCTGAGGGTCTTCTGAAACTTAGTATGACAGTGGAAACCAATCAGAAAAAGCTCTACTATAATTATTACACTTCGGGTAAATTTTTAACGTTAAGTTCAAATTTCAGGTAAAGTCCTCCGAGACCACCCCCTCCCCCCAACTTCAGATGCTTTGCTACGTTCCTGGCGAGACAAGCTATAAATGAACGCGGAGCTCTACTCACGAACAAGTCAGAGCAAGTGTAGCTAGCTAAATTGTTTTAATGAGATGCAAAACCTCGCAGCATGAACTTAGAAGCGTGCGAATTCGTCCTTTGGAAGATTTGAAGTGACGCTTTTACTTACAGGAACAAATCATGTATTCAAAACCTGCTGAAAATAACCCAATTCTATTCAACCTACCAATACTGCATTTTGGAAGCAAAACGAACAGTGGCGGCGCCAGGCTTCCAAATTTGGGGGGGCATTTGAGGGGCAAACTCAAATTTTGGGGGGGCAAGATAGAATTTTTAAAAAGGTCGCCCCCCAGGAAATCCCCCCCCCCTCAAAACGTGGCGACATTCCTAGGAATATCACCCCCGGGGGCGAATATCCTAGGAATATCGCCTCCCAGGGGGGTGGGGCGAATACCCTAGGAATATCGCCCCTCTTTAGGACATTCGCCCCCCATATATGCGATGTGGTTTATTCAAATAATTTCGTGATACTTTCATCTTATTAGTGCCTTACACGTTTGAGAATTTAACTCTGCAAAACTAAAGCTTTTTTGTCTTTTTTGAAACGTATTATTGGAGTATTGGCAAGTTTTACCATTCAGAGATTTACGCCCGTATTCTAAAAGCTCACTCACACTCAATGAGTGGAGGTTCAATCTGAGCTTCCCTTTAGCGTCAATGTTGCTTTTGAATAACTGGAGGGGTAGTGCCATACGTTACTATGTGACTGCTCACCCTCCAGCTATTCAAGAACATCATTGACGCTCAAGAGAAGCTTAGATTGAACCTCCACTCATTGAGTGTGAGTGTGAGTGAGCTTTTAGGATACGGGCGTTACAAACTAATATTGAAACTGTAAAAAGCAGTTTCATGTATACGCGCATTCACTAATGAGTAATGACAACTTATAAGCCATACATTTTCCGATAACGACAGAACGCTTGTGTAGCCTTTAGTCGCTCTTAGTGACTAATAATTTTTTTTGAGGGGGGGCAAAATGGGGGGGGGGCAAAAAATAATTTGGGGGGGGGGCATTTGCCCTCCCCTTGCCCCCCCCCTGGCGCCGCCACTGGATATTCCAGTATATAAGACGACAAATATTTCCTGCAAGGTGTTTGAAAATTTCTTGTGTAAGTCAAATATAAAACTTCCTGCATATGTAGATTTCATAGAACGTATGGTGCCGTACATTGTAATAAACTTCAATCTCGGCACAAGACAATCTCGACTTGCATAATGCTTTTGGAATTTTTAAACAATAAGTAAATTATATTTGGTATTCCAGTATATAAGATGATAAAATTTCCTGCAAGGTGTAAAAAAATTTCATGTGAAGATATTTTGTGAAAAATTTCCCGGCAGCGGTGCTGCTAGACTTGGTTCAAGTCCGTCTCAGGAAAAAAGGAGGGAGAAACGGACTTGGGACATTTGCAGCATTTCGAATGTTACTTGTAAAAATTGGCGCGAAAATTTGTTGTTGTTCTCAACAAGCAAGCCACGCCTCCGTAGGAAAAATCCGACGGTAAAATTTGGGGCGCTTGCAGGGTATCCACGTCCGTCTCTCCCTACTTTTCTCTCATATTTTCGCGCCTTTTTTGACCGCTCGCGTGCATCGCTATTTTCAACCCCTTGAGAGACGGACTTGAACCAAGTCCACGGTGCTGCTGGCGCTGCCGGATATTTTCCAGCACTGACGAATGTTCGGAGTTTTGAATAGCTAAACACAACAGTGGAAACACAGTGCTTCTACAAAGTACAAAAGCCGGCTATGCATTAAACCAGGGTACTTTTTTGTCCAAGCCGTGCCAACGAATTACTTGTCTATATAAGGGACCGGTCATTATTTATGGCCGGGGGGTCACTGAAGAGAAACATTTTCTTGGCCAAACTTTTTAGTGACCCAACCTTCAAAAATTTTTTTTCTCCACCCAACCCCAGCACTCATTCAAAATTAATCTTAGACCCGGCCTAACTTAATTTTGTCAATTTACTTATTTAAAAGCTAAATTGACTTATTTGAGTTTTGAGAGAACAAAAAAGTCGTATGAACTCTGTCACTTTATCATGACTGTTATGGCAGGTTCAAATGGAATACTTTGCAAATCGATATATAAAGTAAATGATAAATATATTCGATCTTAATGAACAAATAATACAAAAATATTTTAGTATTTTCCGACTTAATGATTTTTACTTTACCCACCCTTGGCTTGGTGAATTTTTATTCAACCCACCCATTTCCACCCATAAAATTTTGTTTACCCACCCATTTTCTCTTCGGCCCCCCTGGCCATAAATAATGACCTGTCCCTAAATTAAGCTCTGGATTTTCTTTAACCACTTGCAGCGAAATTAAACATACATATAGAGACCTTCGAAGGAATCCCTGCATGTGGAAGGGGTCCTAACTTTTCAATGCTTACTTTTTTAGTCTTCTTCTTCGACAGCGTATCCAAGTCCAACATATAATAATGGCAACCATTAAGCCAAGACCGATGCCGCTTAGTGCGATAACTAATCTGTTTGGTGATTCACTCTTACCTTGCTTCGTTTCTGCCTAAATACGAAAGAAAAATTGTGTAATTGTGAAAATTGTGTCGCGGCCGAGTATTTATATCGCGAGATGAAGGCGGAATTCGAAGGAGGAAGTTTTTGTTTCCGAAGATGTCATAGTTGCGGAATGTTTAAAAACAATGCAAAGAATGCGGATTGTTTTTCTTTTAAATTTTACCCTGTGATTGTGGAGTTTTTAAGTACCAAAATTCTTCCTCATTCCCCCATGCAGCAGCGCATTGCAGCACATAACATTAGAAATGCTTTGTAATAGTTTGTTTGTGGAAACACCACGTAAATTTATTACTGCATAACATAAATACCACGTAAATTTATTTATTGCAGTAATAAATTTACGTGGTGTTTCCACAAACAAACTATTATATGTTTTATCGCCATGCAAACATACAAAGAACTTGTTATTAGAAATGCTATATAACATTTTTATATTCGAGTAAAAGCATGCTATGTTTATTTGTTTGTTCATTTAGCCTTTCCAACTAGCTAGGGCAGGGCATGTATATTACTGTGGGCCCTTTTTACCTAGCCCACCCTGTCAGCTTTCCCTGTGGGAGGAAACCGGAGTACTTGGAATGCCCACGACTTTCGACAGAGCGTTGACTTTTTACTCTTTTCGCACGAGGACTGGGTTTGAGTCGCATATTGGGAAAGTTCTCACTAGGATTTGAACCTGCGACCTTGGAGGTGGAAGGCAAGTGTGCTAACCACTTCGCCACCGATGCCCCATATATAGCCCTATACTTTGTTACGTTTACATTGTGACGGTTTTAAGGGTTGGCCCTTTCGTGTTTGTTTCCCTTCCTATAACAATGCGTGGCATGCCAACTCTCATAAATTCTCATCCTCGTTTGACCGGCGCTTTATAGTTCTATAGATTATACGCTTAATTTTATATATTCTCACATGTTATAAACTAGTATATACAACCTGCAATCATATTATGTATGTTGTTGAATTTTGTCTATACAACATGTATAAACAAATGTATATATTTGAACGCATGCACGCATACACTGGGGAAAAAATGTGAAATCCGTACTATGAAATTTACAATTAAACCACTAAATCCATAGTATATCCATACTATTTCGATACTATATCCATAGTATGGAAATATACAATTATTATGGATAATCAAAATCCATTCTATTTCCAATAAAGTTTCATACAATTTCCATTCGATGACCTTATATATGGATTTTCAATTTTTTTTCCAGTGATATAAACAAATCAACTATAAAGTAAAAATATAAAATCATAATATCGTATTCTTACTTGTTTTGTGGGAAGAGTCGTAGGTAGACTATCAGTTCCCAACGTTGATGTGTTGCGTAAAGCTCCACTGAACCTGGCTAAAATATAAGATTAAACACAGGACTAAAAATATAGTCCAGCTTGACGAATTCTGAAAAATCTGAGAAGATAGTTTTTTTTTGGTTTACCATCTAAAACCGCGTAACAACTTTAAATACAGATCACTTAGCATAAACACTCAATTATCACCAATTTAAAACTGCATAATCATGACATTTCGTTTCCGAAATAACCGCCCTGATACGCGATACGACGTCATAATTGCAGTGCAAATGACGTCATTTCATTTATGTGCGAACGTACAAATCTAAATATGTCCTAAATGAAGAATAATATGGAAAATATGTTAAATATTTTATTTCAAAACTAGACATGTATGACTATATACAGTATTAGTATAATTGTTCTTTTCAAAGACTTTATTTTATTACCAGGGCTCATTTTGCATTTCTCTCGATATATTAGTTTCATTTAGCTTCAGATATACGAAAAGCGGTAATGCAGTTCGTTATTTCAACTGGACATCCAACTGAATCGCGAGATAAAATGACGACGGCAATTTTTTTATGACAAGTTTTCATTTGACAAGTTTTACTTGCTCGTTTGCATGTATATAGGTGACTTTGCCAAATTTTAAAATTATCTTTATACACGGACGGTAACCTGTCAATTGACATTGATTTTCATATATTGGACCGTGTAATAGTTACAAGTAAAAGATTGAAATAGAATTATAATATTTACAATTTATCATTTAGACGCTGATTCCAGGTCTTAGAGCTAACCTGAAACTTCTCTTCATGGAGTTCGTTTTTGGTTTTGAATGATAGTCTGAGAAATTTGCCATAGTACTTCTTAAATTATAATTAAAATTACAAGTAAGCCAGGCTCTCTAGATCTACTTCTGGCTTCCCTCCCAAATGGATGGGGCGTGTTTCGGTGTTTGAGAGGGAAGCGGAAGTACAGAGCCTGACTTGCGAGCTTGATATCATGGCAGTCAAACATATACTTGTCACGTTTCAGGGCGAGTTACTTTTATTTTTAGACCTTTGTAATTTTGTATGCTTTTGTATTTTAAACTTAACCCTACTCCTATAACTGGCCCTAAACCTAACCCTGACCCTTACTCCAATCCTCATCTTAATCCTAACCCTAATCCTAGCCCTTTCTTTGATCCATACCCTAATCCTAAGCCTAAAAGTCTAAATATAGTAACTCCCCCTAAAACGTGACTCACATGCATCGATCCGGCGTGAGCACGCATGACCCTTGAAAACATGCGTGTAAGCATGTATGCAATAAACAAATTTAGATCGAGGACGCGGACGTCAAAGACTACGTGAAAATGGCGTGTTGTGCCCATGTATGGATATGCCACGCCATTTTGACGCCATTTTCACGTCGTCTTTGACGTCCGCGTCCTCGGTCTAAATCTGTCTAATAATACATTGCATGCGTACGGACGCGTGCAGTGACATAATGCTTCCGAGACTTATTACGCTCATGAGCGTAATAAGTCTCGCAAGCATTGTGTCACTGCACGCGTCCGTACGCAATGTATTATGGGATACATGCTTACACTAAACCAACACCTAAAGTTGTTTACTCCATACGAGTGTCCCTTCATGTCGTGAGTAAAATGTCGTGAGTAAAATGTCGTGTGTCGTGGGTAAAGTCGTATATAATCGCATATTTTTACGAAAATATTTTTATTTTTAACATACTTTTTTGAGCGAGGAAACACTTTTAAAATACTTTTGCTTTCCTAATGCAAATATACACAGGGACGCCGGAACGATGTGAAGGCAAGGGGG